CCATGGCTTCCGTGCCCACTCTGAATATTTGGCACTAGCCGATGGAGCTTTCTGAAGCAGTGCAGGTTCGGCACGTATCTGAAGAACTTGCAGACCCATAAGTACGTCATTACCCTTCGGATGCTGGTGGGGGTCAGCTGGCACAGGGAAATGTTGTAATGGATCAGCAAGTCTCGGACGAAAACGTCCAAAGGGAACCTCAGCCCATACTGAAGCTGTCTCGTGTACACCCCCACATACCCCGGGGGTGGACGATGGATTCTATCGGATGCTGAGGGCATTCGGCACCAATATCCATCAGCTTCAAAAATGCCGTAGTGCAACTCAATTTGCTCGGCAAATCGATATTGATCGGCGTTCTCTACCCACCATGAGTAGGGGCGGTTCTTTATCATGGCCGAAGCGGCTTCGGCATCCTCCCACTCTGAAAACCCTGGGAGGATATCCCAAAGGACAGCGGGAACTTCATCATCCCGTCCTGAAGCGCTCACCCCCTCAGCCCTCTGAGGAGGAGCCGAAGAAATGGGAGTCGCCCTAACCCCTTCAGCAGGGTCAGACTCTGTCCTTCGTCCATTCCAGGTCCCAATCCTGTCCCTGGGATCGGGGATTAGCCTTGCTCTCCTTGGAGCACGGGCTCCACCTCTAACTCCCCTCACCATTGACGAATTTCGAAGGAAAAAGTCGAAAAAGGGGAAAGAGTGCAAAGTCGAAGAAAAATGAAATAAAATCAAAGGAATTTACCTTGATCTGAAGCAAAAGCCGCCGATTTACGAATTGGCAGTGACAAGTCTCAGCTTCTAAGCTTAATGCTCGGGGAATTTGCGAAGTTTTGATGCGGGCTCTTGAGCGTTCTTGAGAATTCTGGGTTTGTGATGATGAATGAGTGGGGAGAGAAGACGCGCCTCTATTTATATCTCCAGAAATGGGAATTCAAGGAGTCTGCGTTTCAATTTCTCTCAAGCACCCCACTAAGTAACCGTTAAACACACGACCTTGCAGTTAAATCGCCCACTACCCATCCAACTTCCGCAATTATCCACATTAACTGTTGTTATCTCATTAATCATGGGTTAACTACGGTTTAAATTCACATTTTTGGATTAACAAGTCATTCACTTCCCTCCTTTTCTGATTAAATCAAACCCGACCCGTCATCCTTCCAAATCGGGTCTGGGGGGCAAGTTGTTTGGGTCCAATTTAGTCCAATTGGGCCTGGTCACTGAATGATCCAATTAAAAGCCCAAGGTTAAGGTTCAACTCTCCAAATGTGCTAAAGTCAAAAATCAACATCCTCAAAGCCATGTCAAGGTCAGTCAACGGCCCAATCAGCTTGGCCCAGCCCAACTGACTTCCGGGCCCAATCCGCCTCCTTCATTAGCCAAGGTATAAAAGCCAACAATTTGGTCAATTCTTGGTAAGACAAAAAAGCCTCAAGCAACTAAACTCTTGCACAGCTTTCTCTCTCTAATATACTGACTTAAGCATCGGAGGGGCCTTCCTCGGCGTCCCCCCCGAGGCTAGTTTACGTGTATTTGTTGTGCAGGAAACCCTCGGCTCCTGCGTCGTTCGGACCGAGACCAAGTTCCCTCAAGATAAAAGGATCTTCCGAGATTCGATTGTTTTCATCCGAAACACAACATAACAACTTATTGTAATTAGTTATTTAGTTATACTTCATTACTTCGTATTATATTGTATATCTCCTCTATAATGAAAAGAACATGAGAGTTGGCAGATAGTCTGATACGTAGGAGGGAGAAAAGGGGCCGGGATAATGGCGGCCATTGAGAAAATGAAAACAATTTGAATTCCTCTTTGAAGAGAGAAAATATACAGTATATAGAAAGTATAGTATTTTTTTCGCCTTATAATTTGGATATTTTAGATTATTGTTTATTTAATTTATTTGGTTAAAATTATACTCTCTCCGTTCCCTAAAGTCTGACCCTTTTGGTACAATTTTTGTTCCCAAATGATCGACCCATTTGCATTAAAATATATTCCAATTTGCAATAATACTTGTGCAAAGTTAGCTTCTCCATATAAATTTTGTTTTTCCATATACTTTTATTACTTTCTATCTCTACTTTTTTGGAAACCCTATGTAAATTTCACTTTCCAATATACTTTTACTATTATCTTTTTTATTTTCTTACTACCCGCGAAATCAACTCAAAAGGATCGTTCTTCCGGGAACGGAGGGAGTACTTTTATTACTCGGTATTACTTCCTCCGTCCCCGATTGATAGTCACTTTTGTTAAAAAAATCACGGGAATTAAGGAGAAATAAAGAAAGTATATTGAAAAAGTAAATTCACATTGAGTATGCAAAAAAATAGAGAGAGAAAGTAATTAAAGTACATAGAAAAGTGAAATTTATATGGGAAAGTTAAATTTGCACAAATATTTTGCAAATGTTAGAGAATTTTAGTAAAAAAAATAATATTAATGGTACTTGAAAAAAGCAAATGTGACTAATATTTTGACTCACCGAAAATGATAAAAGTGACTATCAATTGGGGATGGAGGGAGTATATGTAATGTGAATAAACAAGTGATCGACTACAATTAATGTCCAATGTGTGTGTGTTTAATTTAGTTCTACAATGGCATGTATCATGTATGCACTAATTCTTCACAATTTGAGGATATCAATATAATTTGACTTTTTAATTTGTTCACTTAATAATAATTAAATAATAAAATTATAACACTATTAAAAAATACTACTCCGTAACAGTCTATTACTAGCTTAATGACAAGTTTATCACCACCGAATTAATGAGTTTGCTGTTTTGTTGAAATAATGAATTAAAAATTGTTAATTTCATGGTTTTAATTTATTTTTAATGTTTGTTAAGTCAATAAAATTAAAATTTTCATGTTCACGCATTATTTGAAACTCGGTAAATCTAAACAAACAATTTGGTAATTAATTCATAATTTTCGTAATTATGAAATGTAAAATAAGTCATCTAATTCAAACACATTGAGCAATGGAAAAACAACCTGATCTTTGACAATTCATGTTAAAAGAATGAATACCCAAAGATTATGTATTTGTTTTTCATCTTTCTTGGATCATATAATTAGCCATTTTGGATTTTTAGGTTGTTAAATTTTAATTAATATACAATTTATGTGTTCAAGTATGTTTTTTTTTTTTTTTTTTTTTTTTTTTTTTAAATCTTTGTCAAATTATGGGACGTTCCCCCTGTTCAAAATTCTAGCTCCGCGGCTACATACAATTATCATGCATGGGTAGAAAGGTGTTGAAACTTGACAACCGACCCGGTATGAAACTGACACAAAAAATATCCGATTCAGATTTCAACTCGCATTGAATATAATAATTTAGTATATAATTTAAGTTTGAAATTAGACCTAATCAGGCACACTCTCACCGAATCTGACCCTAACATCCGAATTTACACCTCTTTGTATGGGGCAAAAACTTGATATATTCATGTCTAGACCTGGCAATCTTGACCCAAACCCGATGACCCGACCCGAATGACCCGACCCATGACCCAAAATCGACCCGAAATCAGTGACCCAAAATTGACCCAAAATCCGAATTAACCCGACCCGACCCAAAGTGGAACTGACTCGACCTTGACCCGAAACCCGATATGACCCGACCCGAGTAGACCGACACGAAGTTGACCCGAGACCCGAAATGACCCGATCCGAAGTTGACCCGAGACCCGAAGTTAACCCGACCCGAAAATGACCGACATTTAACTTCTTTTAGTAAATAATTGTATAAGTTATAAAAAGTTTATATTAGGAAATTATACATTAAAATAGACCCAACAACATCTTACATGACTACATTGACTTTCATATAATAGCTAAAAAGACGGTCAAAGTGAGATGTGTAAATAGTGCAAAATGTCAAATCGTTAAGAGTAATTTGGGACGGAGAGAGTATAAGAATAATTCAAATGGGCTAGAGGCTCGAGAGACCTCTGTCCACGCGTGGACTAGACCGATTGAAAGAAATTATTACAACAATGACAATGATAATAAGAGTACGTATTAAAACTAAATTAATAAGAGAGTGAGGTATAACTCAATTAGTTAGAGTATCCCTCTTAGTTTCAAGAGATCCTGAAAGTGATTTTCAATCTAAACACACACAAAACAAAAAAAAAGGTTAATATTTACTATATTCCATGAAAAAAATAGCCTTAATAAATGTAGTGAGTTTTTCATCAAAAATTAAATAAATAAATATATATACAGAGTTGAATTTAACCCAATGAATCACCCGAATATGACTCGACTCGAAGTTGACCCGACCCAAGGTTAACGCGAAATTGACCCGACCTGAAAATTGACCCGACCCGAAGTGTTGACCCGATACCCGACCCGACCCGATTATTAGTCGACCCGAAACCAACCAGAAACCCGAAATGACCCGACCCGACCCGAACTTGACCTGATAACCTTTTGACCCGAACTTGACCCGACCCGAAATGACCCGACCCGAAATGACCCATTTGCCAGGTCTATTCATGTCTATAACGATACTAATCATTAAAAACAAATAAAAACAAAAAAATAAATAAAAATAATAACACTACACTGACTTTGACTTTTATATGAGGCTAGCCGAACGGTATAACGAGTCTTCATGAGTTACTCAATTTATATTATAAGAATTGCTCTATTAGGATAATAGACGTTACTTAGTTGGAAATATAAAAATTACTCTGTCAGTGTTGTAGGGGTTACTTTGTTATTATTTAAGTTTCCTCAGTAAGTAAACTTGTATATAATAAGGGATTACTTAATGTAATAGGTTTTTTTTTTTTTTTTTTTTTTTTTTTTTTTTTTTTTTTAACAACTGGTCATACTTGGGCAGCCGGCAGCGCAGCTGCATTGAAAGACACTAAGCTAAAAGATTTATGAAATCATATTAATTAAGAATAAAGATTTCTAGTAATAATCAGCAATTATAAATTGAATTATATAAATCAAAATATGATCGTCACCTAGGTTGGTTTTGGTCCTCTCAAGCCATTTCTCCGAGTATCTTGCCAAAACAACAGCCAGATAAGCTTCCGTTTCTCCGGTCAGCTCATCGTTAGCCTTGGGTTCCTTGATGTCAAGGCTGCAAGGGGTGTGCTTATTCCGGCCATTGTGACTTTGCTTCTTTTTTGCCTCGACACCATTATTGTCATTAGCGGCGGTTAGGGAGTAAGAAAAAGTAGGATCCTGATGCAATGCTTGTGATTCATCAGCACAAACCACTGTAAACACCATTTTTTGCTCTCTGTTTATGAACGTAACACCTACATTCAGCTTAGTAATCAGTTATTGTATAGCTTTATAATTGTATTAGTTAGCTAGTAATGTGACAATTTAATTGCGTATAATGAAAAAATAAAGCACCTGAAAACATACCTCGTTGGTTGGCTATTTTATGATAAAAATTGGCAGAAAATTATAGTATATACAACTTATAAGAATGCTATAGCTATTTATAGCTTATTAGCTTTACAATTACACTTGACCAATGTCAAAAGGTACGTATAAACGCTACAGTACTACGTGCGTAGCTATTAAGGACATTCGTGAAGGAGCCACAAAGTCAGGTAAAGCACTCAATGATCAGCTGATTACTTGATAGTTGATAGAGATGTGATTATGCGATTGAGTTCTTTATTATTAGTATTATTAATTTCTATTTCGTGTTTGTATTTAAATTTTAGACAAGTATGATAATCTCTCTCTTAGTATGATATGTACATATGGTTCCGTCCAAAAAATAATAGTACATGTTACAAAATCATACCATACAAAAGTTAAAGATCTATTAAATGACCAATTTAAGCAAAAGCTAAAGGTATTGGATGAGATTCATGAATATGTTTTATACCCTATCACGCCCTTTTACACAAGAGCTCATTGGGCTTAAAGGGTATATGCAGCATATAGGGTTGTACACAGTGTGGTCTGAACTGTAACCAAACCGGAGGAACTGGATCGGAAAAAAGAGGGATTCGACTAAACCATATTTAAGAGGTTTGGTTTGGTTTACGGTTTATAAAAATACGGTTTGGTTTCAAATTTTTGATAATACGGTTTATGGTTTGATTTTTCAAAAATTATAAACAAAACAAACCGTAAACCAATAAACCGTATTTTGATATCTATATAAACTTTAAATTAAAAATTATTATTATGAAGTTTATATTATATAATAAATAAAATAAAACATGAAAATCGCATAATGTAGTTGATGAGCTGCCAATCTCTAACATGACCGAAACCGACACGACATGAACACAAAGTTATTAAGAGAAAACGTGAAATCGACACGACACAACACGAAATTAACTCAAACACGAGCCATTTAGATAAAGTGGTTAAATTATGCAATTATCTCACATTTTACATATTTTGATAAATTTTATGAATAACACAAAATTAACGCAAAACTGAACACGAACACGACACCACACGACTTTTTGCCAGCTCTAAATGTAGCACCAGGTGCTGTCACTCTTGTCATGTTGCTGCCAATATGTTGTTGCTGCCAATTATTAATGACTATAATTTAATATGTATATTTTTTTACAAATGTATTATGAATTTATGATGATCAATTTATTGTTATTTTTACTACTCTGTTTGTGTTAGCACTTGATTAGTTGATTGTTATTTTTATTTTTACTTAGTATTACAATTTAATTCCTTTGGGCTAATTGTTTAAATTTTAATATAAATTCATGAAGTATTGTTTGGCAATTTTTAGGGAAAAATATCGTCTCATCATAAGCTGTAAATCAAACCGCACTAAATCATATTATTTCAGTCTAATTAAGTCCAATTTCAATGCTAATATGATTTGGTTTGGTTTGAAAATTGACCAACCTATATTTTGCATTTTAGTTTGGATTCAAACCACACCAAACCATACCATATTTACCCCTAGCACCATAGACCTTCCTCATACCCTGCACTTAATATTCTACTTTGAACGGAGGGGTGCATAAGATTCGAACCCGTTGTAGACATCTACTTGGCCTTCTGTCTCGACAGGAAGTGCTATGACAATAAATAAAAACCATATTCGTGTTACATTGGATCAACATGAAGAAATGCTTATGGACAACTGATTAAATCACGAGAACGCAAAATGACTAGCCTAACCCAAAACAAAATAAATTAAGGTCCAAATTAATTAAGCCCGATCATAATTAGGCTTAAGCCCGACGTTAAAACCTAATTATGACGGATTTAGAGACCCCTAGGTTAAAAATCAATGCTGCCACAGAGAAATCCACGTGCATCTCAATGAGTCACGTTGGTCTGGCGCGCGCAACTTAATCTGTTGCGCGTGACACCCGACGCAACTGCTAATGATGCACTTGCGGAAGATTCAAAATTTAATAAAAAAATAAAATCGAATCTTACCATGTTACCACGCGCAAGACGTTCAGTTGCGCTGCCCGAAGCAGCGCATTTAAATCACTTGCACTAGGATGTCGCGTGCAACTCATTCAGATGCGCGCGACACCTATTGCGGCAGAACGCTGAAAACCTAAACGTATCCATTCCCTATAAATAGAGGCTTAATACGAGGCTTCAACAAACGAAAATGAACCTAAAACTCTAACAGAAACTTTGTAAACTTGTGTGCTACCAAACCCTCTTGTCCTAAACACTCACCACTTTAATACTTTGCTTGTTACTACGGTGGAGGTTCCCGAACAAGGAGTCCATAAGTGTTCTAAATGAAGATCTAGCAAAGAGAAGTGGTATAATCCCAAGCACTTAGACCAATCACCTTTTTTCTTGTTTAAGATTCCTTGGTGGAACATAAGTAGTATAATCGGGAATAGTTTCTGTTTAGGGTAAAAATACCCTAGACATATGGGCCAATAAGAGAAATCCACGTGTCAAACCCAGGCTGGTCAAAGTGGATCAATAGCAATCTGACACGTGTTCCCTTCAGATACCTTCTGAAATTGCGGCCTTCAAGGGCTCAATTCCTAAGAAGCTCCGTAAAACGGCCCAGCCCAATGAAATCTAGGTCAAGTGACCTAAATAGGGGCACATCTTCCAACGACCAAATAAATAGGAAGATATTTCCCCATTTTGTGGACACAATAAATCATTGATTACACCTACTTTCTCTCACATCAGAGAAACACCTGAGCTTGAAATCCAAGCAGATACTCACCTAAATTTCCGCACTCTTTATTCTCTTTCAAGTTACTAACTTGATCGTTGGAGGCAGAGCTCCTACAACCGGAGTCTCCGTTGTTTTGCAGGTACAGCTCGAGCCGAACCAATCTTTGTGATGTAACTCTCACGAGGGACAAAAACACCCAAAACAGTTTCAATGTCCTAACATTAGGCTTTTAGGTCTTTCTAGTACTACATACATCTTTTCTTGCAGGGTAATGAGACAATATGGAATGAAGCAAATTATTCCCCCACTTACAGGATTGTGATGCTCCCAAGGATGTGACTTTTAAGGCTAAAAGGATCCCACGTTGGATGGAATATTGTTCTAGTCTTCCTAAGTGGGTGGTGCAAAATCCTACAGCAAGCATAATACTCTCTTCCTTTTACAAGGCTTGGGTGAACGCGGCGGATAAGGGAAAGTTAAACAAAGCTCGTCAACAAAGTCAAGGCGCCTCGACTCGCAATTCACCCAAACCTTTGATGAAATCGGCCACAAGTGGTCAAAACAAAGGAGTGAGAAGAAAATTAGACTTCTCCACATCACTTAAGGCTCGTTCAAGAGAACCCGAGAGGAAGGTTGCTCCAAAACCCGCGCAACAAGGAATAAAGATTAAAGAACCTTCATCAAATCCCCGTAAGAAGACTCCATCCAACGCTAAAGACAAGGGAAAAAGAGTTGAAAGGTCCCCTATATCTAAATTAAAAACAATGTTTGCGTTAAAAAGAAGACAGAAGGAGAAAGCTCTAAGGTTGCTGAGAGTACTGCAATGGAAACTACTCCTCTTTCAACTGTGATGATTGAGGATATAGTAAAACCTTAGGGTGTTACACAATATTAATAGTTTAATTTTGTTTGAATAAAGTGTAATCATTACTATTTTTTTTATAATTTTATTATCAAGTTCTATGATTTTTTTTTTATTCTTGTTTGGAATAAAAATGAGCTCTTTTTTTTATTTATATGACCGAATAAAAAATATTGCCTATGTATTCGTATTATAAAATCAGGTCTTTGCATAGTTCTTTGCGAAGATATATTATTTTTATTTAATCCTTTTGTAGAAATTAAATGAAAAATTAATCAAACTTTGTTTAAATAATTTAAATCAAAGTTTTATTTTGTTGTTTTCCGAGTACACATAATGCTTGGAAACGCCCTTAATTTAATCGCAAGTAAAAATCAATATTTATTCATGCGTAAAATCCTGGGTTCGTAGTTAGGCGTCAGGTTGTGCGCGCAACGTCCAAGGTTGCGCGCGCAACTTATTCTGTTGCGTGTGACATTCGCGCGTAACTCATTTAGTTGCGTGCGACACTTGAGCTACGAGCGTTAAAAAAACATTTGTTTTTTAATCATTATTACCCTCCAAGTGTGAAGAAGTTTATCATAAAATTCGAAAAAATCCGAACACTTTGAATGGTATATATTTTTTTATTTCCCCCATCCCTAAGTGTTATGAGTTTTAACGTGTTTATTTGAATGCTAAGAGATATGATTGTTAATTATGAATGAACCATTTTATCCGGATTTTTATATGTAATAATTTTTTAGTCGATCAATGTTTATTAGTTGATGAATTTCATTGCCATTAATATCCATTAATCATACGGCTTCTCCGATAGAATTTCAATTACACGGTATGGTCCAATCCAATTAGGTTTAATTTCCCTCCTGGATCAGTTGGTGGACCCCCAACCTCTTTTAGTACAAATTCACCTTCTATAATATTACGGGGTCGTACCCGTTTGTTAAAGTGTCGTTCGATGCGTCGTTGGTAGACTTTGTACATGATGCAAAGCTTATAATCGTACGTAGTTCATCAAGGAATAAAAGCTCCTCATACCTTTCTCGTACCCATTCAGCTTTCGGTAGCTTACTTTTGAGTACAATGTGTGGGATGGTATTTCTAGTTCAACTAGTTAAACTGCTTCCATGCCGAAAACTAAGGAGTATTGAGTTACTCTTAATGATATTTGTATGGATGTTTTATAACCCCATAGGGCGAAGTGTAGTTTGTTCGGCCAGTCTTTATAATTTTCTGCCATTTTCTCAATGATCACTGTTT